CACAGCAGGTCTTTCTGAAGACAAATAGTGTTACCTGAATCCAGATCTCTGCCAGCTTGGCCCAATTAGTTCAACAAAATACTGCTCTGAACACAGGAACTGCCCAAGGGCAGATTAGACAATTGCCAACACACAAGCATCCCATATGGCCTATCATTCTTGCTACTAACAGAAGCAATTTAACATCAGACCTATGAGGTCAACAAGTTCACCAGCTCAAGAAGAGTGAAGGGCATGTCCATGTACTTCTTGTCCTACCAAGGAATCAGTCAAACAATAAACCTGTTCATTAAAAGCAGGATGCAATTCTTGCCGTATGAGCAGAACTGAACGCTATTCTGTCTGTTCCAGGAACGTGAAAAATGGTTGTTGTCATTCTTGTTGCTTTGTTGTGAACCAAAACTAAACGTTTCTTCTCTGAAATCAAAAGTAAGAACGTGAGTGTGAACAATTCAGTGGAAAGGAACAGACAAAATATGTATTTTCAAAAATGCCAAACTGACTTAGGAATTGGGAATCAGGTCATACAGGACCTGCATTCCTTGAAAAGTGCAGAATATGTGCATACCATCTGTGGACTCCTTCAATTTACTTCTACCTTCTCCTTCCTTCTCATCCAGTTGAGGATACTTCTAACAGAAAGAGCTGATTTTGCCACCGAGCACAAATGCATCTCAACAAAAAGCGCTCGCCAGCTCTTCTTTCTCTCTTAACCCCAAACCCCGAGATGGTCTCCAATTATCATACAAGTCTGCAGAGCGAGAACGCAATGTGAAAAGAAACACGATCCCGTGAGAAGACACGATATACCTCTCAGGATACCTCAGTTTAATTTTTGGATCTGCCACAGAAATCGGTCGTGTCACAATTCGTACCTGCCCCCATTCCCCCAAAAGCAAGTCTGATCACTTTTAGGAAAGGTTGTCTCTTTGCGAGTGTGAACACTGGAAGGGTTCCAGTTTTCAGCTGAGGTTTCAAGATACTCCCACCCTATAACCCTCTGGCATCTATTCCACTCGAAGAGAG